TTGATCATTTCTCATTGAGTTTATCTGTAGCTGTAACCACATGATTTATAAATTATTTAGTTTGTAAACACAAAATATCAAGTTTATGGCCAATTATTTAGATAATTTTGAAAAATCCAACCCATTTTCCCAAACAAAATGGTTATAATAATATTACTAGAAAAATAGCTCTATAAAGGCTTAAAAATAAAATTAGTTGATAAAAATTTCTAAAACACTTAAAAAATTTTTTATATTTTTATGATGCAATAGAATAATTAATACCAATCCTCAAAAACAAAATCCCGTATTTAATAATATAAATGCTTCTATCATGATTATTATAAACAGGAAATAAAAGAGATTTATACAATCTCGTAAAATATTAAAACATACTACAATAAAAATGAATCAATATATACCATTTGTTACAGAAGCAACAAGAATCACAAAAATAGCTATAATGATAAAAAAAAAAAATAACATAGTACAAGACAACTAAAGCAATACAAGGGTAAAATATCACAACTGATGAACAAATATGAGGTACAAACTTTTTAGGCACAACCATAATTGATAAGTAACAATCCATTTCTAGTAAGTAAAAAATAAGTAACAACATTTCTCTCAAGAAAACAATATGAGATACACCGACAAAGAACACTCTTTTAAGATAGAGCTAAAAGAAACAAACAATTTAAAAGTTCCAATATGTAAGTAAGCACATTAAGCTTTCAACAATGAAAAACAAATTAAAATGGTTATAAAAACTTACCAGAATAATAATTCTGTATTAAGCAGTTCCAAACTGCATGCATAAGTAGAAGTTAGAGATGGCTAAGTATTAACTTTTTCAGTAACAGGTACAAATTAATATTGATATTACAAATTATCAATTTCACGAATCTGACATTTTTGTATCAAATAAATGTCAAAAAAAATTCCAAAATAATATCTTTTTTTTTTTGTGTGTGTTCTTTCGAGCATTGAGTTTGATCGAGCTGAAAGTTATTTAATATTTTATACAATTATTCCATGTTGCATCTTAATTTTTATATATGCACTTAATGAGAAAATGACGGACATAATAAACGAAATAAAGAAAGTAAATTACCCATAACATAAGAAAAATATGAAAGAAAATAACACAGAATATTAATCCTTTATTAAAGGACATTTCTTTAAAGATAAATTTCATTTTTTACAACTTTTAAGTTTTTTACTAAACTTAATGTTTTATAACTTAATTGATACCAAATGTACTCGTTAATTTCATAATGTATTCATTTAAAGTACTAAATAGTTTAAAGTACTAAGTTTAAATTATCAGACACATTGATACAAATCCATCTCTACTAGAGGTACAATAATCGAAGCATAATTAGAGCTATTTTTGTTCTAATTAGGCTTTTATTATGCATACTATACATATATTTTGATTAGAACATGTGAAATCCATAGAAATATAACAGATTAACCTAAATAAATTTCAATTACATAACGCCTGGTTAAGACAACTATTATATTTAATTTTATTGTAGATAAAAAACTTTTTAAATAAACAAATTAACTATTTAAATATCAAGCTTCTTGGCAAATAGATATAAAGTTTTCTCTTCCATGCAATCTTTTTAATAGACTAACATGGATAAAATTTAAACTGTGTTTCTGGAAAAAATATTAATTTTAAGATTCACAGTAAAATGGTTTAATTGATGCATTTTTTAGAAACATTTCATATTCTGCACTATTTATTCCATTCAAATGTACTTTTCTTATCAGGTATTAAAGTAAATAAACATTTCAAGATCTTATATTTAGCTACACCCACCAAACATGTAACTATGACTATTTAGTAAGTTCTGTTTATAAAATTTTATATGATTAACGAATATTTTCTAATATGATTAAATTTAATGAACAAATTGTATAGTAATAATATATACATTCATAATTAGTTATTACAAAACTATCTTCCTGCTTGTAGATAACTTGGAACAGTTTCAGAAAAATAATTTTTGTTAAAAATACATAATATAAATGTGAAAATATTTCTGTAAAAGGCACTGATATCACATATAAAGAGGAAAATGATTTTACATATTATATTACATGCATTATTGAAGAAAGAATAGAGGAAAATGATTTTACATAATATATTACATGCATTATTTTAAATGTGAGTGAAATATAAATTTCATGACTTTTCTAAACTTGAATATTTTTAAGAAACTACTACATAAACTCCCAAACTATACCTTAAGCATGCATAAAAACTACAATAAGTTATGCACACATAAGCTAATATATTATGCATTAACCTTTTACACTCCAAGTACTTTAATATGTTGTTTGAACTAAAGTAAACGCTAAATCATTTAAACTACATAGTGCAATATTTTAATATAATTTCTGAAATTCATAAAATAATGTGGTCATTAATTATCAAGATATAAAAATGTTACGTTTAAGAGTAAGATGCCTATTCAGAGTGCAAAGGGTAAATATGAATAAAAAGAAAGAAGTGATTATTTTAATTAAGATGACAAACGGAAAGTTCTTTTTTATACTGTTTCAGTAAAATCATATTTATAAATGTATACAGATTTTTCCAAACAAATTCTTTCACTCTCATTACAATTATTTACCTACTTATATTTTTTTAATCATAAAGTATAAATATTAAATAAATGGTGAAAGAACAATGCATGAACTCTATTAAATAAAATTTCTTCTCTTTGCAACGAAAAGTAAAATATAAAAATTTAATATGAAGTACTTAAATTAATTTTTAATACTTAAAATAATACTGTTTTAGTTTGATAGGAATGTATTCTACTAATAATGATTTTTAACTTCACAAAAATATAATTTTGACTAATTTATGTCTTAAAGACATAAATAAATTCTTCATACAAATTTTATAACCACGAGAAAGGAAATTAAAAGCTTTTGTGGTAGTTAATCAAAACTTTTATATGATATTTAACTTTTATTTGATACATAGCTTTTATCAGTGGTATAAAAAATTAAATTTTGAATTTCTAAAATAATTTTTTAAAAACTTTGAAACATGTGTTTTAGCACTGGATTATATTTATTTATTCTGAATTTTCATTTTACATACTTCTTATATTAAACAGCAAAATTAAAAAAAATAATAGTAATAAAACAGTAGTGAGATTAATAATAAAAAAATGTACTTAAACTTTTTACAACAGTAAACATAAATTGTTTGAGAAAAATGTTTTTTAAAAATTTATCATTTCTGCATAATCAAAAAAAGATGGTATTTTGAGTATAAAAAGTGAATGAGGCCTTAAGTTAATAATTTAGGCAAAAAATATAAGAAAAATATTTCTTATGGCAAAATAAATGCAGAAACAAATTCTCTCTCTTTTTTTAGGATTTTTCCTGCATTTTCGATTAATTATTACTAAGTGTGAATACTTTCTACTAGCAGGGGTTTGTCTAGGTTTTTCTGAGAGGTACCTATTTTGTGAAAATTTCGACATAATTTGTGAAAATTAAAAATAATATTAAAAAATCAACACAAAAATATGGATTTATCGTTTATTACGGATACAAAAAGAAAATTTTAAGGAAAAATATTTTGTGAAACAACTATTTTTCCTGAAGTTGAATTTGAGAAAATACCGCTAAACGGTAGCAAATTTGGCCTGGACAGACCCCTGACTAGATATTTCGAATAAACAAAAACAACATAAAGATCCAAATAATTATCAGTGCATATGAAGCAATGTTAATATACGCTTGATTTCATTGATTGACTGTTTGTATTATTTGGGCAATTAATACTGTTGAATCCCGTTCCGTTGTTCCCGCATTTTTCGTAATCTCGTATGTATAGCCTCATTCCAATGGTTTCATCACAAATGCTATTCTTATAAAGTTAATAATACCTGCTTAGATCATTTTTAAAACAAGATGCATCTACAGTTCAGAAGTTTTTAAACTTTTTTAATAAAAATTTGAAGTCATTTTGTTTTGAGAAGAAAAACAGTAATTCCTGATGTCAGTGATGAAGGAGAAAATGAAATGAAATGAAAAACATTGTTACAGTTTGGAGAAAACACCTTAAACATCACATTTAATGTTTATGCATCAGCAGATGAAAATGTTGATACTTGAGGTGTGATGTAGATTGAAAAATTTGTTGCAGGAAACTAAATAAAGTGCAAAAGGATACTGATAAAGATGATAAAACAGAGATACAACTAATGCCAACGTTTGCAAAGGGTCTCAAAGCCTTTCAAACAATGAGTAACATTTAGTGGGTATACTAATATACAGAAAAAGAACAGCAATCAGATAAAAAGGTCAAAAATGTATAGTTTGCGTTAAAAAGAAAAGGTGGGTTCAAGCAAAATTTTTTAAATAAGTAAATGTGTTTATTCTTCCTTTATTTGCATTGGAAATATTTTAAGCACTTAATTTTTCAACTAAATTTGTCATACTAAACGTAAATTTAGTAATTTTCAAATACATAAATCCTTTATTACTTTTCATACTTTTTCAAGTCACTATTCTATATTTTATGTTGACCCCATTTTGTTGTTTTCTCACATTTATCATTCTCAATGAATGATCCCACGAGAAACGATTGATCGAGGATCTCCTGTACTTCGTAAAAAGCAGATACAGATACAAAAAGAATAAAAAGGTATGCAATCATACATCCAGCTTACAATAAAAATATACATTTGAACTTTATTTAAATTTAAAAACAAACTTTACTAAAAATATTTGTTCATAAGACTGTAAGTTGAAAAGTTACCTGACTAAGATCCGATAAATATTCTAAAAAGTAACATTAGGAGAAAAGTACAAAATGGTTGCTGTAACTTTTTAAAATTTCTAATCGTGATCATTTTAATAATTACGATTCATTAGTTGTGAAATATAATGAACCCGTGATCGAAACAAAAACAGATGGTATAACCAGTGGTCAGAAGTAGCATGCTACAAGTAGTGAAACTACTGTGGTCGCTGTTTTTTCCTCTCTGTAGTTGGTAATGCATTCTGCTACTTTTTAAAAGAAATAGTGTGGTGAGTAGTGTGATATAAAAGAACATTAGTTTAGAAACTATCTATGTGTAGTATTCTTGCAAATTCCCTTAAAACAGTTAAACAAAGTTCAAATGCAAAAAAAAAATTCCAATCTGATTGGTGTAAATTGTAAGCAGACCCGTCAATGTGCACAATGAGAATGCCTCGGTGGCTGAGCGTCAATAAGATCTACCTCTGTTGTTCGGAAAAATCGGTATGAAATAGGTCGAATTGCTCCTGAGAGATCGAATTTTAAATATCTCACTTTTTAAAAATTCTATCAAAAGTTATTCTGGTTAAAAGTTATTTGATATAAGTTCATTGGATCAAATGTTATTCAGGGTAGTCCGATTTTTGTTTTTCGAACTGTATTTTATTTCTTGGAGGATATATAAAAGCATTGATCACTTAAATCACAATTTTTTTCAATTTCCATGCATTTCTTAAATTACTGTTGAGAAAAGCATTGAGTTTAAACAACAATTTTGTAAAAAGTGCTTTAGAATAAAAAACTATTTCATATAAACATAAATTAAAACTTCGTAATATCTCCTCCTATTTAACCAAGCCAATTTTTTATTCAAAATCATTTTGAATATTGGGGAAAATTTAGTTCTACAGTTAAGTTTGTCTTCTAAAAGTAAAGAAGTAGTAACTACTTTTCAAAAGTAGTTTGTAGTCACTCCATTGAATAAAAGTAGTTATCTACAATTGTAATAAAATAGTTGTAGTTAACTACAAAGCAAATGTAATTTTTATCGACTACTGGGAATAACATAAGGTTGCTATGTAGTAAGTACACAAAACCGTAGAAAATCTTTACTCTTTAATACTTTAATCTTCCACCCTTTTCCAAAAAAAAATTTTAAATTTTGTTTTAAATTTATGGCGTCATACTAGTTGCAAGCAGCCATTTTCACTAAGAATTTCTCTTAGAACTAAAAAAAACTTTTTGGTCGATATTCATAAGAACAGTTCAGTTTAGACATTCTAATGGACATTAAAATAACATTACGTCTGTGGAATAGAAGATAGAATTTTATGTATCGGTTTTTATAATGGAAGGGAAACAGCATAAGGTTGTACTAAAGAGCATAGACTGTAATTATAAATTATGTTAATGAGTGTTTGCGATCAAGTTTTAAAGTAGTCAACAATACATTATATAATATTAGTAAAACATTTTTTTAAAAAAAGTATTAACATAAACTTCAAAATTTTTTTATATTTTTAAGAAAATGTGTCAAACTATTTAAGTAGAAAAACTGAAAATTTTTTATCACATGTCATAGAAAAACCCCCCATCTAAATAGCTATTAACCCTTTAACTATCAAACACCTTGAACAATTTTACACAATAAATTTGCTTGTGTTAAAGAATAACTTAATTCAAAAATTTATGACAGTTATTAAAATTTAAAAAAATTGAAGATCAATTCGAGATTGAAATGTAATGGATATAATAGTAGTACTTAGCATATTAACAGTTATTTGTAATAATTGCATATCACAGCTTTATAACTTCGTAATTGAAATATTTATCATTCATATAGAAAATTCTTTTTAGACTATAATATGTTTCAAACAAGACTCTTATTTTTAATATAAAAACATTTTATAACTTGAAAAATATCAGCTTAAAGAATCAGTTAAACTTAACATTTCTCTAACAATGCTGTTCATATGCTTCATGTAGGCCCATTACAATTCTAAGCATACTGTTGTTTTTGATTATACAGAGATGTTTAACATGTATGAGAAATTTGACATAATGCTGGATCAAGTGTATCAATGTAAAAATATATTTTAAATACCAAACGGGACTTATTAAAAAAGCCTCATTTAAAACTAAACAATACTGGTTTGCTTTACAAAAAAAAAAGCAATAAGTTTCTACCCAAAACCGAGAGGTCAACAGTTAAAAGGATTAAAAATGCATATTTATATTCAATGCAGTATTTTCTCATGGAAAATATTATCTGGATAACAGTTAAAATACATTATTTTCAACAATATTCCTTACAAAAAGCAAGTCCTGTCCTAAACTAAGAGACCAACAGTTAAAAGATTAAAAAAGCACATTCATCATTATTGTTATCCTTCATAGAAAAATATCTGGATAATGGTTAAAATACATTCTTTTCAATAATTCCCATTCTTTGCGAATGTTGTCCTTCATCATAGAAAAATACTATCTGCATAATAGTTAAAATGCATTGTTTTTCACAACTGTTATTCATGGTTATTATTATCCTTCATTCATTATAGAAAAATATTATTAAAATAACTACATAAAAACATTTTTTGCTCAGTAATTCATCGACGTTTAGGGTTCATGGAACAAACAATTATTAAAGCAGATATGATACCAAATAATTGAATAAAGGCAAACACCATGCTTATTATTCCTACAATATGCATCCTCTCCATTAACCACACATGTAATCTTGGATAGCAACCCTAGAAAATAAGATATTAAATTAATATTATAAATCAATAAAATATTAAATAACAAAGAAAAATTTCATAACAACTAACAGGAAAGTCATTAGAGCAGCAGTTTCCAACCATTTTAGCTGTGGGAATTACTGATTTTGCAATAAAGAATTTAAGGCCCACTTACTAAAAAATATACCTGCTAAAATTGTAAAACAGTAATGATAGACACTTAAATATGCATATATATTTTACATACGCTTAATTTTCTATACAACACGGAGAACTTTTGGATGCTAGAACAAGTAAATTGTTGCAAAAAAAGTGAGTTTTATTTTATTTTATAACTGTCATTGAACAGCCAACAAAATTTAGGGTTCACGACTACCAATGTTCAGCTCCGTAACCTTGTAATTTTGCACCCAATCTAAAAGATAAGGGAACTCCTGGATCAAGTATTGGTAGAAATTTGCCTTTGTGGAGGACTTTTTGATGGAACTAACCCGCGTTTGCATTACATAGTGCTGAAAATCACGAAAACCACCCATGATTAGCCCGACAGCAAGGGGACTCAAACCCATGATCCATCTACCACTGAGGCTATTACACGTCAGCAGTGTGGTCGGTGCAAGTCAGGTGCGGAATTCTTTTTGACCATCCATCCATCCATACTTTCCACTATATTTTCTTAACTTATTTGTTTTCTCGTTTTTAAGAAGTTAATAATTAATTTTATTTTGATTCACTATATTTTACCTTTCTAAACATATAACAAACTAAATGATGATAAAATTATAGAACTAATTGTCTATATAAAATGCAGGACTCTCGCTACAGATTTCAAATTATTAGCCTGTAAATTAGCTAAATATCAAAAATATTCACTAATTTTCAAAAGTCAAATAAAAAAATATCAATTTCTTAAGAAACCTTCATTTTGTCGTAATTTTTAGGATCAAATTAAAATTATTTTTTCTTTCCAGAGGAAAAAAAATCATTCGCCAATACTTTTGCGAAAACACAATTTTATTCGCAAACTTTACAATTTTATCGCATTTGGCAAGGTGGCGAATGCTTAGTGTGGGCTCTGAAAATGTAAATTATTCTTTCAATAAATTTTCAACCAGATTTCACAAAAATTGTAAATACGTATGTAATTTGCTTTAAAATTAAAGAATGGAATTTCTAGAAGTTTTGGGAAGTTATAAATTTCATGTGATGTGCATGCACTTAGAGCATAGTAAATATCGAGAATACAGAGTATGTTCGGTAATGTTCCATAAATAGAAAAATTATGTTATTGAACAATTAAATTTAAGGAGCATTTATGTAAGCTTATATTTGTAATTCTAAGAAAAGAAGTGTTAATAATTTTTTCTCCCATTTATTTTAAAAGCGAATCAGATGATTAAAAAAATTGACAATTTTTTAGCAATCTAAAACATATGAAGAATTGGTTCAGTGAAAGAGTGTAAATGAACATAACACGTCAGACACCTTATATAATAAAAACCTATTATTCAATCAATATATATTTATAAGAAAATATAACACTGATTCTAGAAAATCCTTTCATTAGTTTAAAAGTAAGTTATGGGTGCATTTATAATTTTAAAATGAGTGCTAAACATATTTTTTATCATTTTATTAAACTTACTAATCTACTTCTAAACTTAATTGTAGCTGTGAAATATACAACATATTTACTTGGGTGAAATTCTCAGATTTCTTGCTGAAAAATTGGATTTTCGGCAAATCAAATTTCTAAAATTTCCCCTCTATATTTCTAAATAAAAAAAATTATTACTTACTGATGAATATATGTAAGAAACCTCCTCCATTTCTCCACAAGATGATATATTAGAGAACTTTGGAAGACAACAACTGGAAGGAACCCACTCTTTATCTGGCCAAGCAGATATTTGATGCCAATCACGATAATTTCTAACACCGCAACATCGGAACTGAAAAATAAACCATGCGCTATAAAGCTATTGTGTATTTTCAATGGAGTCCAAATATAGAATGCCAGGAACTGAAGTTTATAATAATACTCAACAAAAATGGATAATTTCAAAAGTTTTATGACTCACACATGATTGATATTGCATTTTATAGACAAAAATTTTATTATTTTTCACATTATTTTAAACATGTAGAAATAGATTTCAAGTGGACAAATGCAGGTTGCTTTTTAAGTATCCCAATTTTCATTTAAAAATAAATTGCATAACTTTTATAAAAAAGACACTGCTACAACCAATTTATTTTAAAAATTGTCACTTTCATTTTGGTTAGGCTCAGAAGACATGTTTTGAAGATTACATTTCTGTACCAGATGACTCATTTCATTTTGGATCACTGTGACAAACATTCACATATTAAATTTTAATTAATTCCTTCAAAAAATTCTTAAGATTTAATTGGAAATATATTTATCATACAAAATTTGGAATAGTGACTTTAGTAAAAATGTATAACTTTAATTCCTGATCCATTATGCTACACAAGAATACTAAGTAATAAATTTAAATGATCTTAAAAATTTTAAAAATGAAAATTTTTTAATAACGAAAATTGAAGCTTTTTTATAAATATGCGTTAAAACAATTGAAAAAAATCCTATTTAACATCCAAAGGATAATGCTTTAATTGATTACGCGTAAGACATTGAAAATAGGTAAGAAAGTGAAAAGAATATAAACATAGCTAATACAAATCATACTTAAAATTCACTAAAGCACTTTAATTGTAATCAATAAGAAGGTATTACTAATAAAACATGAGCATTGATGTTATAAATAAAGATAAATCACCATCCACATTTGAAATTATCGCAAATTCGTTTAGTAAAAAGGGCGAGTTAGCTTCCCATTGCAAATAGTGGAATAAAGCTATTTATTGATACTTGCATTTCTTTTTCAACACATAATTTTTGAAAGATATTTGCTTTTTAAAACAGCAATTGCTGAAAATCCAACCTTGCACACGCAAGAAGTAGAAAATCGAATAAAATTTCACTTTGAGTAAGATAACTCATTTCTTACAAGTTATAAAACTTTCTCTAAATTTTAATGTTTACTATTAGTTATAGAAATGTGTCATCTTTATACACATAAACTGCAATATTTAAAAAATTAAAAAATTTTAATGAGCAAAAATGAAACTTTCTCCTTCTGGATAGCAACAGATTAAAATTAAAGGATTATATTTGAAATCATGGATGACTTATGACTAGGACTGGGCGATATTAGAAATTATATATCGTGATGCATCGTCAGTTTTGCATTGCGATATAATATTTTTGAATTTCATTTACTTGTATGGCACAGAAAGTCAGATTTCTATCGAAACTCCATACTCAAATTGATTTAAATCAATTTATAAGTTTGAAGATATATATGTTTTGCTTAAGAAAGATATTAAATAAATTGACTACTATACACAAAACCTACTTAAAATATTTATTGAAAAAAGTGTAGCTACAGAATGAAATATTTGCACCCCTTTATCGTTTATAAGGTATTAGCAGTCTAATTAAGTACCTAATTACCTAAATTATTAATTAATAAAATTATTAATTAATTATTAATTAATTTAGGTAATTATTAGGTAACTTTACTAAGTTTTTAACTAGAAATAAAAGAAAGTTTAAAACGATAGGTTTATGAATTATTTGAAAATCAATTAGTTTAAGCGAATGAAATTTTGAAGAAAAAAAAGTTTAAAGCCATAAAAATAATTTTATTAAGTGAGCCATATAAAAATAACTTTGATAATTACATAATTATTAAGTTCGATTGTAATGTTCAAATTCTAAATGAAAAAGTAAACGCAAGTTTTGTTATATTTTCTAAAAATGATCACGCAAATAACGAAAGATTTCTTAATTTAAAAATAAATAATAAAAAAATGAATAAAATAGAAATTTATCAATATATTTACCTACCAATATAGAAAGAAAATTTAAAAAATAAGTTCGTTAAAAATTATTTGTATGTTCAAAACAAAGTGCTAAATAAACTTTTAAAAAATAATAATAATAATAAAACGCTTTCAAATCACTATTTTTTATTATTATTATTTCACATAAATAATTACATTAAATTGAATAATGACCGAATTATGAACGAAAAACAAAGTAAGGTTTAATTTCTTAAAAATAAAAACAAAAGAATTGTGATATTCGATAATATATTTAGCTAATTAACTAATAATATTAAAAGAAAATTTTAAAAAACTGATTGTACTCTCTAATAAAACGAAAAAAATGAATAAAATTCGCAAACCTTTCAAATTTTTTTGAATAAACGAAGTTGATTGACTTATATCCAAATCCAAATGGAAAAAAAAAAGTTTCGTTTTAACTTTATTTCTAAAAATAAAAGCAACTCAAGATTTATAAATTTAAAATCAGTAATAAAAGCCCATTAAATTATTAGAAGTTTTATCCAAAAATAAATTAAAAGAAAAGAAAAAAACCTAACAAATTTAATTACTTTGTAACTTAATTCTTTATGGGAGCCTTAAATTAGATTTCCGATAATTTTCACATAAAAATAAGAAAAAGTTTTGTTGAAAAAAAATTACCTAATTAATGACGAAACTCTTCATAAATTCTTTTCAATAATAGATTGCGTTCAGAACGGGGCAACGGCAGCGATCACGAAGTTAGTTCCACTGAAAATAATCTACAAGAAATGATATCAAGTCGCGACAAAGAAAAACAAAGAGGTGCGAAAACGAACATGTGAGGTCACGATATAGTATTCTCAAAACTTTGGTTCTGATTCTACCGCTAATCAATCAAGGCCATTTCAACATAACGAAACGAACACCCCGAGTCGGCATCGGAACGTAAGGGAAGATCCCTGCGTGTCTTATATCGTAATATCGCTATATCATCTTTCCTTGAAGACTTAAATCAGATTTCTGATGCATCGCCAGGAACGAAAGTCGCTGTATCGACTTGCCAATATAGGCGTTAAATTGATATGTCGCGATACATCGATTTATAGCCCAGTTCTACTTATGACACCTTTTATTCCATAGTCCGACGTTGTGCCATTGCAGTGGCTTTTGGGAACCCTTAACTAAAAGTATCAGAACATCATTTCATAGAACAAAGGTATTCAACTTTTCACAATTTGAAGCTTACTGTTTTTCTTTTTAAATGAATTCCTAGTTCAAAGAGCTGAAAAAATATGACAACAAAGCTTTATTCCACTAAATTATTATTACATCTTTAATCACAACACAAACATCTTAATAAGACAACAAATGTTAAGGTAGCTAATTTTTTAACTATATTCTATGAACAATAAACAAAACCCACAATATTTAAAATTATAACAAATTAATAAAAAAAAAATTTTATTGGTCTGGCTTAAATTGCTTTTTATTGCAAAGTATTTTTAATAGAATTATTATTTGCATTGCAAATAATTTTTAGTAGAAATAAGGAGAAAAACACCGTTCTTCTTTTTCTCCTTACATTTTGAGTAACCAAATAGTGATCGATTCCGTAGCCTTTGTCAAAGCTTCAGGGAGCCTAAAGGTCCAGGGAATCCAGGTGGAAGATCTCTGACATAGAGCATTCTAGACGCTATAAACATCTAATTTATGAAAAAATAGAGAAACGAAACTTTCAAATAGCTGAGTTCATTTGTTTATTTCTTTTTAAATTGTTTTGAAAGCAATTATATTGCAAAAACCAGACTAGTATCAAGATCTTAGAATTTCACTTTTTATAATTAATTTAACCTAAAACAGAAAACATTATTCACAAGTACTAGTTTTTGAAGACAAGCATTTTCAAATAATAATATAGCAAAATCTCTATTAGACAAGTTTTTAATTAATAATAAAGCGTTTAACAAAAATAATAAACAAATAAAAGTTTCATTTATCGCACCTGTGTCTGAATATGATCCCAAGTTTCTTTTAAACCATTATGATTGTCAATGGCATATCGATCATGTATTCCGATCAGCAATTCTTCTTGCAAAGCTTCTCCAATCTGAAAAAAAAAATAAAAATTAGAATTTTTAAAAAAAAGACATCAAATCATTATAATAACTTTATGGATAATCAACAAAAAAGAACAAGCACAAGACCTAGTTTAATTGCTCCTATTATTTAATGTAATAAAACTATAGAATTAAACACCTTTCTGAAAAATCTAAATAAATAACAAATAGACTCGCTAATTTTTTAAATCCAAATAAAGTGTTTTTGAAACTGAAAGTCGGGTGATGTAATGTAAAGGAATTTGTTAATGTGTTTCATTAAACATGCTTAACCATATACATTAAAAAACAGTGTAGATGGCTTTCTAGACATGCCTGATATATTACACATTTCAATGACATTTCAATGAAAACATATAATTTTACTCACATGCTTTCTATAAATGAATCCTAAAGTTCCTGCAGTAAACTCAAGAAGGAGAACCACAATAACCAGGATAAAATACTAGAAAATGCACAAAACATTTTAGAATAAATCAAAATAATTAAAAAGCTTTTTGTTTCCAATGAATAATATAAAAATACAAACATGTGACTAGTAAGGTGAAGTAACAGTTATTAAATTTTATTATCAGTTATTATAATTATTTGGACAAAAGGTAGGTAGGTACTTTATTTACGTCCCACTAGAGCTGCAAAATGGGCTAATGGCGACGGTCTGGGAAACATCCCTGAAGATGATCCGAAGACGTGCCATCGCAATTTCGATTCTTTTCATAAGGATGGCTCCACTGCTTTGATAGCCCGACGACCTGTGTGTGAAGTCGATCACCTTACAGTACAACAGTTCAATGAGAACCAATACCGTGCACCCTCGAACAGTGAGCAGGCTGATCGAAGTGGTCACCCACCTGCTTACTCACCGCAGTCAGTGATGCTCGATTTCGGTGCTCAACTAGGAACCGTATCTTTACGATCAGTCCACTGTGGTGCTTTGGATAAAAGAGGATAGCATATTGAAGGTTCTACTGCAGAGGTGCACAATCTGGGGTTTTGAGAGTGCATAAAATACGCCTCTCAAACACAAATTAATTGGAAAAAATTACATAATTAGCATAAGAAATTTTATAATTACAGTATACTCTCGATATCTTGAAAACCTTGTTATGTCAACAACAAAAATTTCCCCTTGGCATTACATATTCACCTAATGTTAATTTAAATTCCTATGTTGAAAGGTTTCTCCTCAAAACCTTGCTATGTCGAATTTTTTTCTGAAAAATCGCAATGTAAGTTTATTTTAAACCAAGTCTTTTCTGTCTAATGCATAATTATTTTCATCTTACTTTTAAAAATAAATTTATAATTGTTGTATTCAGACTTATAGTTAACTATCATCATTATATACACATTTAATCGTAGTTATTCTTATGTTTCATGACTCTACTTCTTAGGAATAATATTTCAGAATATTTTTTTCTACTTTTTAGAACATATTTAGTTCTGAACTTGTTATCTCCAAATTTTTTTAGCGTCCCTTCAACTTTGAGACATCGAAAAATTGTATATTTTAAACTAATTTCCAAAAAAAAAAAAAAATATATAAGATATAAAAGTTTACAATTGTAGAAATACTGTTTCAGATTGTTAGAAACTTCAAAAAAAAATTTATTAATTTTGAAATATTTTCAACACAGTAAATTAAACAGCCATTACCCAAGCTTTGTAGTGGCTCAAAATACAAATCAGCACAATTTACAAAGAAATCAGTCACAAAAAGTTAACAAAAGCAAAAACATTATTAAAAATAATACAAGACTTTATTATACTTTTTAAAAATATTTTGCACAATATAAGCTAAAAAACATGGTATATATTACCAATACAAACCATTCTTAAAAGAAATTTGTTTTGAAACCAAGCACCACAGCATCCTAAGAATCCGAGCAAAAAGGTTAAAACTCCAGCAACTATTACCAAGTAGTCTCCACTTAATACATGATGAGAAATTAAAACTTTGGAATATCCTCTATAAGACTGATTCAGCCATAAACCCACTCCCAACATGCCACATCCCAATACCTGGAACAAAAAAGGTAGTTAAAATGAATATTTAAGTTTCAAGTATCAAATATATCAATGAGATGTCACTTAACAATGAAATAAATTTTTCGGGCGCTCGACCTCGATAGATCTCTCTTGTCACTTTCGCTTTCCAGTACGTCTTGTTTTAATGGTACCGTCACTAATACTAATTTATAATATTAATAAGAAACGCTTGGATCATTAAAATTAGCATTTAACTACTGTTCAGAAATTTTATTAAGATTTTCTGAAGAAAAGTTATTTCGTTTTGAGGAGAAAAACAGTAATTTCTGAGAGTAATTATAATAAAGAAAATAAATATTAATTAAAATTTGAAGCAAAAAATAAAACGTAAATAAAGCACAATGAAAGTACAAAAATGTACACACTGTAGCTTTGGTTCACTAAACAAGAACCTAAATTTAAATTAAAAAAGTAATTTATGTTTATCCATCTTTCTTTTGCATCATAAATATTTCTGTAATAACTATATAATTTTACCAATAAAAAAATATGCCAGGATAGCCTGGTTGGTAGGGTGTTAGGCTCATGTCCAAGAGGTCATGGGTTTGATTTAGTAACAAAGTATTGGGTTCTTTTGAAAGTAATTTCGTTTTTTAGGGGGGGGAATGAAAGACAATTTTCGTATAATGAATAAATATTTTATTAAATTATATATTGGCCATTCTGGTCCAACACCTTTTGCCATATTTCTGGTAGTAGCATGATTCCACGCTCATAAAATTTTTGGTCTTTGCTGACAAAAAACTGATCCAGGTGATTTTTGACCTCTTCATGTGAAATAAAGGTTTCACAGTCCAAAAATTTTGCAGTGACCGGAACAAATAACAATATGAAGGCGCCAGATCTGGAGAATATGATGGACGTGGCAGTGTATCCCATTCAAATTTTAAAACTTTTGGCGAGTAAACTTGTATGAGGCCTCGCATAATCTTGGTGGAACACTATTCCTTTTCTGTCGAGTAATTCTGGCCTTTTCTGTTGAAGTGCATTATTCACTTTGTCCAGCTGACGACAGCAGACTTCCGAATTAATTGTTGTGTTATCCGGTAAAAGCTTTAAAAAAAAACGATTTCTTTAAAATCCCACCAAACAGACAGCATCACCCTTTTCTGATGGATATTGGCTTTCGAAATGCTTTCAGCCAGTTCATCTTTTTTGCTCCATGATCTCTTGCGTTTGACTTTGCTATAGACAACCCATTCTTCGTCCCCAGTAATGATGCGTTTCAAAAATGGATAATTTTCATCACGTTTGAGAAGCGAATCACAGACGTCAACATGACAAAACAAATTTCTCTCTGTGAGAACATGGGGAACCCATATATCGAGCTTAAACCCAGGCCTTTCAAGTGGTCATGAACAGTTGAATTCGATAAATTTAACCTCTCACCAATCTCATGTCTGCATCAACCAATGCCCTTATCAGCTTCAACCGGCCTTCCAGAACGTGGTGCATCTTCAACATCAAAATTGCCCAATTAAAATTTTTCAAACCAGTTCTGGCACTGGCATACTGTCAACACATCTTTTCCATACACATCGGTTAATATCTTTCTGGCATGAACAGCATTTTTACTATTTCTATAGTAAAATATGACGAAAATCCTGCTTATTGCTCTCCATATTTAAAAGGGCACCAATCAAAAACTACTGTGTAGAATTAATTGAACTTTTTTACCCACAAGTCTTGCTATATCAGTTCTCAAAACATATAATAATAATGCGGCTTAAGTGTGAAGTTGGATTCGAAAAATACAATTAAATCCTCAGTCAGTAAAACGAAATTATTTTCCGAGCAACCCGATAGATCAACCAAATAGATTTATGCACAAATTTATAACTAGTATAGATCTTTTTCTTAAATAGCACAGCAGCTCTTACCTTCTCCAGGTATCACTCTGTTTGGCGACTCTCTTCCAATTTCGGTACTCTGAATATCCACACATTTTTTTAAACATTCAATCTATCTAAGGGGAAGACTGCCCTTTCATTTATTTCTGATAGACTAGAAATAGTTTTCAGCAATTTCTATCTTTCTGACCCATTTTATCCTTTGGATTTTTAAGTAGTATTTCACGACATTAGACTCTTTAAAGATTTTATAGAATTCGAAATTTGTTCACCTTTGCCATAAGCCCTTCACCAAAAATCTTCTTATGACTTTTCTATAAAATTGCAAACGTCTTCTCCTCTCTTTACGCTAATACCCCCTTGCCTCAGATACATATAGTGATAAAAACAGGTCTTATAAATGTTTTATACTAAAGAAATTTAGTTTTTAATTTTAGAAAAATGGACTTCATATAATTTTTGAGACTTAAAAACATCTGTTTTCATTTATGACTTGTTTTTAATTATTTCTATGATTAGATTATTGTTGTAATTGAATTCTACTCCTAAATGAGTGAAATTGCCACTTGTAGACTCTGCTGACTTATTTGAAGTTTTCTATTTATACATGGCATATATTTTGATAGATAGAAACAATATTTTTCCAAAAGAGCAACAACAAAAAGGAAAACTTGAAAACTCAATATTACATATTTTATTAAAAGAGTATTAAAACAAATGGTACTATTTGTACAGATCGGGAAACAAACTAAACTTGCATTGTCTTTGGAAACAGAAATCTTGCAGAGAATTGAGTGTGCAAGAACAAGTTAATAGAAGCATAGTAAAGCTGAAGATTATTCTGATTACTAGAACTTATTAAATAAAATGTCAAAAAAAATTTTCAGAATTATAATACAATTGTTCCCTGACTTGGTAGTTTTTTGAGAGGGCTCTAAAATGGGGGAGAGTTCTATGTCGTGATCTGTGGCAGAATAACCGCCGAGTCTTGACATCTTCCGAGCGACAGCCTGCGAGAAACTAAAAAAAAAAAAAAAAAAACATCATAGAAAGGGACAATCTCGAAAGATTTAACTTGGAACAACCCCTGGAAAAATATCTCTGTGTTTTTATAATTAAAAAAATTGCAAATCTAAAATCTATGTGACAGATCACAATACGAAAATATCCCCCCAATATGTTCTGAAGCTGCCATTCAAAACAGCAACAAAAAAAAATAATAATAATTTAATTGGCTGCAATCTTAAGATAAGGATTGATTCGAATTTCACCATAATTCGACAATAATTACACAAATTGTAATAATAAAAAGGATTTTATTTCATTGTGGTTCAGTGGTTAAATCCAAACTGAAACTTAAGAAGTGAAGAAAAAAATAATAAGAAAATTGTTTGCGCTCAGCGCCATCTGGTATTATAAATCCTTAACAAGGATAGAGATATTCTATCCTTCTCTTTTTGTTATAAACAAAGGATTTTGTGTACATTTGAAAATAAAATGTAACTGTAATACAAAATATTTTGCAATGCTAGGCCAACAATATTTTTTACTGTTACATTACATCCAGATAAAAATTTGGTATTTTTTGGTTAGACAAGCAAGAGGAAGTTCAACTATTTATTTTACTTTTGCTAATTACTTTTTTGTGCATGCATAGTTTAGTGTTTAAAAATACAAATAAATATATAAAATAGTAAAAAAAAGAAAGAAAGAAAAAAAGGATAATTGGTATAGGACTGTATTTTGGGGCAATTTCCACTTAACTAACTGAAAAAGCATGTACAAATTGAAAATATGATTGGTACATTTCAAACAAAACTGTCAAACCAGATCCAGTAAGAATGTTGCTTGCGTTTCTAAAAATTTTGAAATGAATTTTTTCGATTCTTTATGATTTTCTCTGCTCAGTGTTTTCACTACAGCGTTAGGATGCGAGAATCTCGCATATTTTATTCTTTTCTCGCATTAAAAAATTATTACTGCGAGAAATTCGCATATTCTATAAATCAATTTCAAAATTCACGAATTTCTCGCATTTTGGAAAAACCTTTGAACTAGGCCATTTAGAATAAAGTCCATTTCACTTTTCTTCCCGGATCTTTCATTATTTTCAACATCTGCCCCGATATCTAGCTTCCCTATTTACCAGTATTGTTCAGAACCTTTTCGAACAACAGAACACAACCACGGAACCCCTTTCAGAACACATTTCTCTGCAACCACGTGTTTACCATAGGTAAGGTTTCTTCACGTAAGACGTTCAAATTTTTATGTGCTAATGTAAGATGGACAAATACCTTGTAAAGGCAAAATCTTCTTTAACGATGCACCAAAAATATTCAATGCTTTAAAAAATAGAAGACAAAAAAAATGTATTATGATTATAAAAAAGATTTTTTTTTCAAGAGTTTGTGTTTTTTTAGTTTTTCGAAATCTCTCTTAACTATTTGAAATCTCACCCTGTTTTCTAGAGAGGGTGAGAAATTCTTACCCATTTTTTTTCTTTTAAAGCTCAGTATTATGGAGTTCAACCATTACACTTAATTAGAAATATGGGAAGATTTATATATCTCAGTACCAGTGGGGAAAAAAATCCCAAAATTTAGGCATCAACCAGGCAGTGACATGCGTTTACCGTTTTTTTTATCTAGTTAGAATTATTTCAGATACATAACCAGAGCCTTTTAATTTAATATATTAAATAAGTTTCTTTAAAAAGTACAATTATGACAGAATATTTAACTTTTTAACTAGAATTTCAATTTCCTCAATAAGGATTTACGAATAACAAAACAAATTTTTCCTTGATTTATACACGATAGAATATTTAAAACTAAAAGTACATATTGCTGATGATACACCACCCTTTGGAAAATATGTTTGTTTATTCCAAAAAAATTTAAGTAGTATGACATTAAATCTATTTCATAAAATTAATTTCCATGCAGTACAAATTGAATTATTTTGAAATAACTGCAACAAATATCAATTTCGATCCGAATATTTTTTAAAAGCAATATATTTACCCAAAATAGCAAATTTATGCAGCACAGCGACTTTCGAACACAGCTGAAACTGTTAGACATGGTAGAGGATTTAATAAATTAGAAAACTTGTCATAAAAACTAACATAATTACATCAGAAATATTTTATGATTGTAATTTATTCAACTAGAAAATAATTTAATTCATTCATTAGATCATTTTAAAAATACATAATTTATAATACGCAGAAGAAAATAAAAATTAAAACCAAAACAAAAACACATTCGCGGTGCTCTCTGGTATTGCCAGTTAAAAAATTACAAATAGCAACAGGAAAGTTAGAAATTAGTGTAAAATTAACAGCTAAAGTAAATTATTCGAAACTTTCTTGCTTTCTACAATTCAAAAATTTAATAGATTGAGATCAGTTTAATTCTACATTTTTTATTGAGTTAACTGCTAATCATTATATACTGGCACTGCAACTCATGTCAATTGTTGTTTTAAGAAAATTTACAAAGTGACTGCACAGTAACTCATTACAACTTTTGAGTTGAATCAGTTCTTTGGTTATGTCTATGAAGTTTTCAACTTATACGAATCAAATAGTTGAAATCTTTTAGTTTGATTTCTTAATACTGTATAATTTTAAGCACCGTGTTGTTTTTTTTTATTATTTTCTTTTCATGTTTTCCAGATGATTTTTTGTGTGTGTGGATCATTCTAATGGAGTTAATAGCCCTCTGGAAATTGTTAGTCTTAAAAAAATTTTATTTGTCTATTGACTGACGAAGACTTTATATCCATTTTGAGAAATCATAAAATAATGCAAAATGGATTTTAGGAAATTATTGGAAGCAGCAAATTATAATTCACATGAAGCCAAACATGAGGTAACCTACATAAATAAAACTCCTTTGATGAACATATTTTATCTTTACAATCACCTTAACTTTATGAACAATAGAACATATCAATTTTAATTTCGTTCGATTTTGAATACTTAAATTAGTATTCATAAATTTACACTAAATTTGTAAATCGCTTAACGACAATCACTTTGCCAAGACTGCAGTGTCTTGTTTATCTAATGACTTACCAATTTCTTAACTATTATTTAAAACTAATTTTACTTTAATGTTATGAAAAATTATTCACCCTTTACTCTATCTATTAAATATAATTATGAGAATGATATGTTAAAATTTTATTTCTTATGTAACTTATAATATTTATTATTAATTTATAACTTATTTTAGGCACATAATATTTGCCTTTCAATATTAATATTATCTGATTCTACACATTAATGGGTTCTGATTCTACATATTAATGGGATCTGATTCTACACATTAATGGGATAGTATGGGTTCTTTCACAACTTTGTTATTAATGTATAGGGAAATGTCCATATCGTGATATGTCACACCAACCAAAATCCGCAATGAGCCATTGGTTTTAAACAAGAATAATTTTGAAAAAACATGTAGAGGTTTGTCTGGGGGTGGCTATGAATTATACCCTTAAGAGTTGACCCTTTTCTGTGATGTTTTTTTTAGTTTCTTGCGGGTTGCTGCCCGAAAATTGCCAAGACTTGGCGATTATTCTGCCACAGATCACGATATGGAAATCCCCCATAATTCTTTAAAATTATAATCGTTTTTGTACTATTTTGAGGAGTAAGGAACTTATCGTAAGCAATTCCACCGAAAGTGATTGAATTTTTTTCTTCGAATAAACTTTATGTATTCTATATCATTTTTTATTTAAAAATTCTGTAATCTCTGTAATTTTTTTTACTTGTAAATTATCACGTAAATAAAAATAAAAAAATTTGCAACAATTTCAGAATTTCATTGCCAGTTTCCAATTACTAATTTACATAATAATTTTGTTTGCTTTTTAAGATATTGTTTTTTATAATAGCTATTAGTAAGTTTTCAGTTAATATTAAAAAAATATGCATAACTGTGATAAAAAGAAAGGGTCAATTTAATTGTTCTTTGAAAGGTAACAAGAATAATCAAAAACTTATTGAAGTTTATCCTAAACTAAAATTTTTTTTTTTAAATTTAAAGTATCAAAATGAATTACCTTAACAAAAATCATCGATCATAAGGACATATGCTTGTTGCAAATAATAATTTTTAGAAATTCTATATGTTAATAACAATTTTAAAAGCATCGAACCTATTAAATTTGGTTAATACAATACACGAAAACAAAGCGTGACATCCTAAATAACTAGTGAGTGTATCTTCACTCACTAGAACTCAATAATTTAAAGAATGGGTATTCAGCTAGTAATTGAAATATATTTATTAAATAGCTAATTATTTTTCACATAGCTGAATGCAAAATTACATTTAGAAAGTTGCATGGCATTCTCTTGTACTTTTAGTATATTTATTTTTTTAGTTTATTTTGAAATATAATTTGCATGCATGCCTTTTTTATTATTGCTTTGTAAATAACTTTGATTATCAATTAAATCAGACTTTACAAGAATCACACCCTAAAAATATAGTATTTATGTATTATAGTGTGCGAAAAATATTTTCAGACTTAAATTAGTATATATAATTCAAGGAAGAAAAAAATTTAAATGAATAATTTTAAAAAAAATTAATTGTTTATTTAAATTAATGTTTCTTTTTTTTAATTAAAAAATCAAGTGATTTGTACCTTGACTTAATCAAGATTTAAATCATGCCAACTCTGCTTAGTGCAGACTATATTAAAAGTTACGAAATCAGACTCAAAAACTTACTTTCTCTGAATTAACATACTTTTTGTTATTGAGGGATTTGGATTCCTGATCCTCTTATTATGGAAAGTAGGCACTAAACATGCTTTTAGAGGTCCGAGCCCAAGGAATTTTAATCCAAGCTCATCCTAGCCCTAGATATCTAGGATTATTTACAGGCCTAGTCAGTCTGAGATATATAAAGATCAAATTTTATACCCTTGCCACTCAGCCTTTGAGGTTTAAACAAGGAAATTAGTTTGGAAAATCTTTTTTAACACAATTCATTAAAAGAGTTTAAATTTTTATGCTTAATTACTGAATTAAATATTTGTTTTAAAATAGATTAAAAAAAGTTTTAAAAAATTTAATCATGAGTCTGAGCCTGCCCTTAATCTTTTTTCAATTAGCTAGTCTGAGCCTGTGTCAGACTTCGGCCGAGTTCATCTCATCTGTAGTAGCCAACCTACACTCTGATACCTCAATAATTTGGTCAGAAAAGCGGTTAAAAATTGGAACTCCTTAATGTTGTTAACTACTTTTTGCACAATTCCACAAATCTTAAGACTTTTTAAGCCAACCTAAAAAATTTTGCATTTTAAATAGCTCACAATTTTTAGTTGAATAATATGCAATTTTTTTACATTATTTTAAAAAATGCAATTTTGTATGGAAAAATACAAAATTTGAGCAAAATTGATTGGATAGTTTTTGAGAAAACGAATTTTAAGTATACAATTTTTTTTAGGTTTGATAAAAATGCATAATTGTAATGATTTCAGTTAGGCAAACTGAAAATGACCTAAAAATCAAGACAAAAAATTTCATGGAGAAAAAAAGAAGAAAAACGATAAACTTTTTCTTAAAAAAAATAATTTAGTTTTCCATCTGTTATTAATTCTAAAAAAATCATTTTTGCTTTAAATAAATACACCAATATAAAGTTTACACTCACAGTATGTTATGCAAATTTCTTATCAAATCTTTTATATGGAATGTAACTAGAGTAACTAATTTTTTTGCAACAAGAGTAACCAGGAATTTTTCTCCTAATAAATAAGGTGTTTGTATTTAAAATGACTGTTAATTAATAAGTTGGCTTCCTTTCTTGAAATTATTTAAAGTAAGAAGATTTTATTACATAATTTAGATAATAAAGGATCATTAATGCCTCTTGTCAGGTTATAAGAGTAGCCACCCCGTGGCAGAATCGCAGCGACACGACGACATTGTCGCAGAACGTTAGAGTTCTTGCAGAAATATTTTTCTTTTTTTTAAATAAAAAAATATTACTTTTCTTTAATACAGAAATTTACACGGAATATCTGAATCACTTTTTGAAGCGCTCAATTTACGCACGCCCATAGTACCGTAAATCGATGTAATGTTTCTATTGTATTTTCGGCAGTTATTGATATTGATTATTTAGATGATTTTAAATATCTCGAGATATTCCTAACAATAGGGAAAATTCGAATCGTACATTTGAGTATTTACTTTTTAAGCCAATAGTTCTGTGGAATTTTTGGCAGCTATTGCTATTGATTCCTCCATAATTTTTAAATCCAATATTATGAATATCTCGAAACTAAACACGCATATGAGAAGTCCGATTCACATGATTTTGTCATCAATCTTTTCAGCAATTGCTACTGCGGATTTTTTATTATTTTGTTTTATTGTGATGATTATTTAGAAAATGCGAAAAAGGAAATAATTTGTGCACCATTTGTGTGGTGGGGGACACCAGCAAAATGCGAGAATATCTCCTATAATATAAAAATAAAATATTATTACATGTCCAATTAAAAAACAATGAGTTTTTTTTCTTTTTTTTTTAAACACAGCACTTTTGTTATTTTAAATTAGTAACTTATACATTTGTTATAATTAAAACCATCTGGCAGAATGATATTAGTGCTAGAGAGTTTTGTCGCAGATAGCTCGAAAAAATTCTGCCACAGCCATACTTTATATTCACCATTCTATAAAACTATTAAAATTTTTCAAGTTTTTTCTTTTAAAATATGCAAGGTAGACATCTAACCAATAAATTTTTCAATTTAAAATAAAACTCTCATAAGTGAAAGCAAATCAATCTGCAACAAGACAATACATGTAGTAACAAGAATAACCATGGACTGTGTCACTAACTTCAATAATATTTCAGATTTTTTTATGACCCCTTGAAATAAAATAGTACCCATTGTCTTACAAAAGAGTTAAAGTAATTCGCTTTTCGTGAAATTTTTACGTAAGTTTAAATTTATATGTGAAAATTATTCTCAATTTTGTCTCCTATGGTTTCAGTCATGTAGGAGCTACTGCCTGGTCATTTCAAATGCAATCAATGAAAGATATGTCTTCTGAAGTTTGTTCTTTTAAAAGTTTTGCCACTTTCAGGATTGTTTGTTAAGTATTCTTGCTCATAAGAAGAATTCAGGGGTTATGCACCTATTGGGCAATTTTTTTTCTTTACAACCATTTTTGGCACATTTTTATTTATGCCACTTTTGTCGCATTCCGAAAATGTCATAAAATATTACAACCTTGTTAAAATTGGATTTTCCTTATATTAAGATAATTTTTAGTGCAAAATATTTAATTCATAAATAACAGATGTTTATCAAATGTTATTCTCCAGCCTACTGTTTTGTTATGTGACCTGCACAAGGTGCTGAAAATGAAATCTAATATTGCAACCCTATTGAATTCAAATTCGAAGTTCACTTTTGTTAAAGCAATAATTTTATTAATAATTCAATGTGTAATTATAAAAAAGAATTCGAGATCTTTACTTTTTTTAATCTTTTTATGACACTTTTTTATTACTTATTGTTACACTTAAATTTTTTTGTTATTATTATTTTATTATTGGATAAATTTAATGTCTTTAAAATGTCTATTTTGGAAATTGCTTTTCATTCAGTTGACGCCAAAGGATTTGCGCTTTTTCACGAGCGTTGACAGGTCAGCGAAATAAATCCCAAAGTACCAATAATTTTATTTAAATAGTGTTTTATAAAACTGGTTTATCAGCACAAAATTTTTAATGATATTATTAGGATGTGATTTGTACACCATAAATAAATATTCTTTAAGTATTACCAATGTATGATACAGTTGAAAAAATTTCTGTTACTTTTTTTTGCATAAATATATTGCATCGAGTTAATTGAACTTATTATTTTACAGTCGTCAATCAAAACTTACAGCACAGTTCTTCCACCACCAAAGAAAGTTGGAAAATCAACTGTTCAGTCTGATGGCATTAAAAAGTTTTTGGCTAAGAAAAAAGCTGAAGAAGATGCCAAAGGTAATTATAAATTAATTTAAGAGTAGTTCATATACATGTCTGTATAACGATTTTTTTTTTTTTTTTAAGTTAATAACTTGAATTTAAATGAAAAATTTTTATATTAAGAATTTGTAATATTTACAATTTTGATGAAACATGCTATTTTGTGAGAAAAACTGCCAAAATCATGAAATTAAAACAGCATACTATGCCTTTATATTAGTTTGTCGGGAGAACCAATGATAATTTTTTTCTGGGGCCACCTAAATTGTAGATTAGCTCTTGGTGCAGCAGTAAAAATTCTGAAAATTTACTCAAACAATTTCTCTGGTCTGTATATATTTTCAGTGGGCAGGTAACAGACCTGTAAAAAAAGAAAAAAAACTTCATTTATGAAACAGAATAAATTTAATAAATATAATCTTTAAAATTTTTAAGTAAATTGCTGATTATTAAAATGAATTTTATGAAAAATTGCATAGAATGTGTAATATTCAGAAATGCAATGAACTATGCTATTTTGTGACCAAAACACCAAACCAAAAGATAAATAATAAAATCAGCATACCACTATTTTATATGTAATTCAAAAATAATGGGGGCTTCATTGGGTTGGGAGCTCTAAAATTTGTTTCAGACCACCACTAAATAAAATGTCATTGATCTTGTCAGGAGCAATCGATGTAAAAAGATGGCGTGCTATTGTGGATTTTTTTATTTGAGTGAAATGCTTTGGTCAGAATTTTTGGTCACAAAATGGCATATTTCATTAAAATTGTGAACATCAATCATTCTCTGTATTCTAGCTTATTTAAATTAACTTTTTTCTTTCTTTCTTTATTTTTGAAATCTAATCATGACTTGTAAAAGGACCAGTAAAATGTGTATAAACTTTTTATAATTTTTGATTACCCACTAGTAAAACTGACAGCTGAGTGGTAGCGGTTCATACTCTTAGTGCCACAGGTCCTGGGTTCGATCCTCGGGCCGGGCAAGGTTGACTCAGTCTGTCATCCCTTCAGTGAGTCCAGAACCAAGCATGCTTGGAGACTTAACACTGAGAGTTCCTCTTTTGGCTGACCACCCAACTGAAACATCTGCTCCTGTACCCCATAGCCCATGGTCAAGAAAACTGAGATGTGCAAAGTTAACCTTGGCCCTATAATGACTGTTACTCCAGTTTTTTTTATGGGCTGTGGCATTTAGTTTTTTAGTAGTACCCACTAGTTAATTTTTTTTCTTTTTATTTCTAACTTTTTAATGTTGTGTATGAATTTTTATGTATTGGTATAAGTTGAAATGTGCCTTAGAAGTAGTGTAGATAAAAAATTATTACTGATTTTTAAAAATTTGTTGTGTCTTATCTAATTTTGCCTGCTGTCTGTTGTATTGTTTGTCCTTTCTTAATAGTTGTTAATGTTTACAAGTTTTTCTTATTTGTTTATTTATTGTATTGTTGTATTTGTTTATTTATTATATAGTTATATTGTAATTAATTACAGTTAGATTTCCACTTTTTGAAAACTTGTTTGTACCAGGGTTGGCAAGTTTTTGATGCATGGTAGTAAAATAGTTTTCAATATTCAATCAGTTTTTAATACATAATTTTTTTTACATAATGTATCTGTTACTGCTTGTTGTTTATCTTAATATCTGTTTCTTCTTAACATCATTTTAGCTGCAGAAGCTCGAAAGCAAAAGGAAAGATTGCTACAGTTGAGGTCACAAAGTACCAAGAATAATAAAAAAGCTAAACTTATGGCAGCACGCACTAAAGATAATGACTTCAGTAAGATTAAACTGTCTGAGGATCAAGTCGCATCTAAAAAGAAAATAGAAATTGAACTCAATCGTAAACATTTAAAAGACAAGAAGGAAAGAATGAAAGCTCGTATCGAATTAGAAGAAAAAGAAGCTCAACTTCCTCGGAAAAGAAAGCGAAAATCAAAAAATGGCGGGGAGGGTGCTACCCAAGGACATGAAAGTGATGAACCCATAGAGGAAGAATATTTTAAGAAAGATAAAAATCCTCCATCTAAAAATGGATTTCGTAAACCTCCTCCTCCACCGGTAAACTTTAGTGAACTTTTAAAAATGGCCGAAACAAAGATGCACGAACCTGTGGTTATTCCAAAGAAGAAAGAAGAAGGGAAACTTATGACCAAGAAGGAGAGAAGAATTTATGAGGAAGAACAAGCTAGAATGAGGAGGAAACAAGAACTTTTGCAGAAAGGTATACAACCCAGTTTGTATAACAAAACCCCTAGCGGGAAGAAAGAAAATGACAAAACTCTTACCAAGAAACCTCATGTTGTACACATAGAAAAAAATAAAACTCTTAATCCATCTAGTGAGTCTTCCTCCTCTAAATTTAAAATTCCTAAAAGTTCTGCTGCTGCAGACGCAAACAAAACGAACAATGGTGACTCAAAAATTATGCACCCTAATAAATCACAGTCAAATAACATAAAAAAATTAAAGCCATCTGGACCTAATGATAGACTTCAAATAAGCAAAAAAGAAAACGTTGGTTCAACAAAACCTTCTGTGCCACAAAACTCAGTACCAAAAAAAAAACCTAAAATCAAACCTGTTTCTACTTCATTGCCTAAGACGTCTTCTATACCCACTATCGATGCAGATGCTATAGCTGCTGATATAGAAAGAAGAGTAAGAGAAAAACTTGAAAAGCAATATGCTGAAAAAGTGAAGAAACAGTTGGCGGATGATCTCGAAAAGCAAATACAAGCCAAGTTGGAAAAGGAAATAGAAGAGAAATATCGCCTTTCTTTAGAAGAACAACGTAAAAAATTTAAATTACAAAATGAACCAGTTGAAAAGGTCAAAAAGCCTGACATTTCTAGTAAAAGTGCAACTTCACTTAATGGTAAAGTTCCTCAAAAAGCTGTCTTAGATAAACCCCCAATTAAGAAAAGTACAGATAAACCAACTATACAAAAAATATCTGCTCCACAGCCTCCACCAAAAAAGAAATTCCATCCAAATCCTTATTTAGATCCTCCAAGACGATTGCTCGAACCCATAATTCCTCCCAGTAAGTTGAACTTTTCTCTTTTTTTTTTTAACTCTCTTTATCATACACTGTTTTTAACCTTTCTTAAAACCGTTTAACAAAAGTTCATTGATACTATTTACATATCAAACTCGCGGCCCGAGATGAACATTTTTGCGGCGCAGTCAATATATCCGACGCAAAGTAAAAATAAAATAGAAATGCGAATTAGAAAGAAAACTAGCATATAAAATTAGAATATACTTTATTTATAAACTATACGAATAATTTTAAGTTGTACGCGCAAAAATGTAAAGTTCTAATTGGCTTGCGGCCCCTGCCATTCCAGGGATACTGCATCGTATCAAAAATACGCAGAAAAAATTTCAAATCTTAGAACAGAATTTGAAACAAGCTTTAAAGATTTTAATTCTTTGGAAGACAAATTTTGTTTGTTTTCTTCAATTTTCCCAATAAATATAGACTCAGTACCCAGTAATATGCAAATGGATGTGATTGAGATTCAGTACGACTCAAATTTGAAGGCAAAATTCATTGAAGTGGGTGTGACTGAATTTTACAAATATTTACTGGCAAGGTTTGAAAATACTCGAAAATTCGCACATGAAATTATTTCCATGTTTGGAAGTACTTATTAGTGCAAGCAATTATTTTCTGTTATGAATGGAAATAAATCTCCTGTCTGAAACTATATTAATAACGCTCACGTTGGGTCAATTTTGAAAGTAGTCTCGGCCAAATTTCTACCGAAATAGGAAAGATACTAGCAGACAGGAGATGACAAGTATCAAGCAATAATTTAACTTTATATATGTTTATTACAATGTACTATTCAAAATAAAAATATTTATTTCTATGAACATAATTTTTTTTTTTTTGCAGCCCACCTAAAGTAAAGCATTGCTTATTTGGTCCAAGTTAGCTTTTGAGTTTGACACCCCTGATTTTCATGATGCTATAATGCATCAAATGTTCCAAAAATCAAAGTGGATGGGGGAAAATAAGTAATTACTTATCCCAGGGGTGTTTATCCCAGAAGTGCCTTCTTAAAAAAAGTACATTGTCCAAAAGTGTGTACATTTAAAAAAAAATGTTTTTTTTTTCTTGATTAGTAACGAAAAAGAAAATCGGATAATTCTGAGTTATTACATCATTGCATTTCCTTTGTGTTTTCATTCTAGACCTTAATAAAAGCAGGACACTGGAAAAGGCACTATTACCCCAAAAATTGGGCACCAACCACAAAGAAGGCTTTGAACTTTACAAAAATTTGAGTATCTTTTAAGAAACTCAAAATTTACTAAGTTCTTAAGTTTTTTCCTGAAAAAATCTTATTTTCAACGAAACAGTTTAACTTAAAGATAATTCCTATGTTAAATTTGTGTTTACAGAAAGTGGTTTTAGAAATTAGTGTAATTTTTGCATTTCGCAAATGTTGCGTTTTGTAATAATAAGGTATTAAAAGCATCGGAATTTTAAAAATTATGTCGAAATGGCTGTCAAAAAAATTATAAGTAATTGTAATAACTGTCAAAAATGTGATCAGTAATGTGGATTTATGATAAAATAGTTGATAAATGTAGAAAAATATAAAATTCGCTAGCCCTGGCATCATATTAAAAATATCAACTTTGAGTGATTATCTTTATCTTAGACTACCAAGGGTATTGACAGACCTAACATATGTTTAATGGTAAAGATGGGAAAATATATATTTTCTAATTTTTAAAAGTAGTTAAGGATAATTTACTTCTCCTGAAAAAAAGAAAAAAGGTGGAAACTAAATACAGGCATGGCATGAAGTTGTTAATATTTCTAAATTATTTTGTTGTTAGTTCTCTTTAATCTTGACTTAAACATAAATATTTAATTGTTTGTTAAACTGACAGCATTCATAGTTTCACATTCTTTTTTTATTTTCACAATTTGAATATATTGGTATTTTCAGACATTTTTCTTTCTCTTCCCACTTTCATGTCTGCAAATAGCTTTAATACCAATTTTTTCTCAATCAGATAAGTTTCTTTTAATCAAATCTGTTGCGGGAAATCTTAGCCAGTTTTAGTTGATAGATTTTTGGGAACTAGTTTAATTTTTAGGTCTGTTATTCATAGAGTTATTATGTTTCAATTATGAATGTCTTTTCTAGAAAAGAGACGTGTAATAGAAGATTACGATGAAGATGATGATGATGATTCTGATATGGATAGTTTCATTGATGATGGGCCAGCTGTAGATGATGAAAACTATTCTCAATATATCAAGCAAATTTTTGGATATGATCGCAACAAGTAAATAAATTTGAAGCTTTATCTGTTAAATTCATTATTAATTTATTTGTTTTTTGCAAAAGAAACTTTGCTAATCTTTTATTGAAATGTCAGAAAATTTTCTTGACGAAAAACGACTTAAGTAAGGCCTATACACAGTAATATATTAGATGATAGCTAGGATCAATTAAAGCCTCTCTACCATGCTGTGGTGTGTGGCGTTGTAAGGCAGCCACGCTGTAATCTCGTTAGTGTTGAGTTACCTAACTTGCTCGTTAAAGCTTTTAGCGTGGTAACATTTTGAAATATTGCAGCGTGATACAATCCTTGTTTTTTGGATTTCTTTCTTTACCCATCGTTAGTATAGCAAGTCAACATCGTCAAGACGATGCCACACGATAGCGAGTTGTCGCAAAAACTCGAGGCGGTCAAATTTCAGGCTATCTGTTACAGGGACCTCAGGATTTCGAGAAATGTGGTGTCCGCTCAGTGGAAACAGTTCGCAAAGACAAAAACAGTGGTTGGCCCACCTGTTCAAGGCTGCAAAAAGAATACAGCACTGGCTCAAGATCATTATTTGAGACTTTTGGCCAAAAGGGATAGGTCTGTGACAACAAAACAACTGCCTCACAACCTAATTAATGCAAGAGGATCATCCATTTGCCCTGAGACTTAATGCTGGTGGTTTGTAAGCTAGGTGACCTGTAATCTGTATTTTTTTTTTGGGGGGGGGGGCTGTGAACCACAAAAATGGCCAAGGCCTGGCATTGAGAAAAACTGTCTTGGACAGAGGATGATTAGGGAAGAGTTCTCTTCAATGATGAGTCAAAAAGTTGTATTTTTAAAATTCAATTTCTCAGGAACTATTTGACCATTTTCTCCCAAATTTTGTACTTTGTCATTTAAAATTGCTTTCTTTAAAATGATGAGAAAAATTGTATACCTTTAAATTCATAATTTTTTCAATTATTAATAAATCAAGTATACCTACTCAAAGTTACATTTTGAATGGAATTATCTTTCAATGAACAGATGGATAGTTATGTGCAAAAATGTTTAACTTCTCCTTATAAGCTTTCGAGATATGGTAAAATATGCAAAAGTAAAATTAACATTAAGGCATGAAATCTTAAAACCACTCTCCAGACTGAAGTTTTGGTACCACATAGCGGCAATCCTCTATATTTTGATAGACTGAAATCCATACCCATTGAAAAGAGGTATGTTAATTCAAAGAAAGTACACTTTTGTGTGTGATTTCGTAACTTGAAATATTGCCTGCATTAATTAGTTAGCATGAAACCACTGAGCCGTAAAACCACTGAGATTGAACAAGAAGATGTGATCATTAGATCAAAAGTTATTTAGGGTGATCCGTTTATTTTTTAAGCTCTGCACATTAGGAATGCACAACCTGCTGCCTTCGAGAGCTTCTAATCACGATAAAAAATAGACAACAATTTGAAAAAAGAAAACGTCAAAGATTTTTTATTGCACTTTTGAGTCGTGACGTTTTGACATTTTCAATTTTTACAGATTCTATAGTAAATGTATGTTTAACGTGCTTTCTTTAAGCCAATTTTATCACATTTTTTTAAGCAGCTATTTACCCTATTCAATGTAATTTCAAAAATCCCAAGTTTTTATTACAATACTATTATGACACACGTGTTTCAGATCACCTATTTAAATAATCACTTTTTGGTGCACTTTATTTGTGATGATAAATGATTTTTTATCCTTTTTTTTTTTTTTTTTGCAATTATTTCTTTCTTTTCCAACCATTTTTTCCGCAGTTGTTGCTATGCATTCCCACGTAGTATAAAAAATTCTGATAATTTTATTACGATATGCGAATTTTAAATCGCGCATTTGACATACTTTATTCATACTGAATTCAGAATAACAGAAGAAAAACAAAAAAGCAAATTGTTCTTAGTTCCTAAAACAAAACAGTAACACTGAAAATCACAGTTCTCTGTGTTACCGGTTATCTATATTACTGCAGGGAAAAAGTGACAAATTAATCGTGTGAGATGTTCATTAAAATGCTGCCTCATACTAAAAGCAGCAAAAATGAAGAGAAAAAAATTCTTTCTCAATTCTTAGAACTAAAAGTATTGAAAAAATGAAGAAATTGACTTGTTTGAATATAATTTTTTTAAAAAAAACAGAAGTGCAAAAAGTTAAAGTTGTGGTTTAGTATAAAATAATTTAGTTTCAATTCTTCAAATTTCGTTTTTCCATTTGTCTTCTAAAAGATAAATTTGGGAGCCATGTGCAGTGAGATAGATTTTGAAATTTAACAAATTTGTGTAAAAACTATTTCTTATATTAAACAATACAATATTATAGTTAAAAATACCATTTTATATTATTCTTTATCATATCTATACAAACTAAAAAAAAAAAAGAAGAAGAAGAAGAAAAAACTTCCAAAAATACTTTTCTAAACTGCTGAATATTTGGCCGATCATTCGATCAACTGAATTTTTGACAAAAGGTCCAAATACTCGTTAAATCCCTAATTTAAATGCAATGTTATTGCAACCTGAGAAATTCACAAAGTGGCAGAAAACATGAATTTTTAAACTGCTCACTATACGTAATTTTGATTTCTTTTTCTTTTTTTTTCTTGCTTAAGTGATCTTTTTTTGGTAAAAGACAAAAGAAAAACTTTACTATTTAAAAAAAAATCTAGTAATCAATGAAAAGAAATAATGAAGTACATTACCAAATAAGTATTGAATTTTATTTTGAACAATAACAGTTTGTTTTTATATTGGGCTTTTGTTTAAACCTTGTAAATTTTATTTCAATTAAAATATTTATTTGAATTTATATTACTTAATATGTACTAATTTTTTTCCTACTTTCATTCTGTGAGCATAGCAGTTTTCTTTCATTGGAATTTATTTTTATAATTTATTTTTATAATTTAATTTTTGTATTGCTTGATATGATAAAAAAAAAAAAAAAATAATCGTTTCTCCGATGTTTATTTATTTATTTTGATAAATCTATTTTCAATAAGATGAAAATGGAAATTTTTTTTTGAAGAAAAGTATTGTTTTTCTTCCCATTTTTGAATGAATTCTGATAATTGAATACCTTTAAGTAGATTACTAAGTTCATTGATAAAAAAAATTAGAACACTCTACACTTAAATAAATATTACTACATTTACCATCAACATGTGCGGCCCTTCGTTAGTCAATCAGCTGTGCAAGTGGTCCTTCACTCAAAAAGGTTGTGCACCCCCTGCACATGTTTGAAAACTGATCTGATTGCAAATTTTTGCTAATTATATATACTCGTGTCTCTTTCTTTTTACTTTTGTATGCAAATCATCTAGAAGATTTTAGAGTGATTTGTATCATTCCGAATACAGTAGCATGAATTCTCTTGCAATAATTCAAATTTTTAAATTTATCTAATTATTGAATAATAATTAATTAATTGCCTTGATTGTGAATACTTGAATATATTGTGATGGGGAATTTTATTTTTCTTCCAGATATATTGATTGTGATGATGATGACATTCAAGAAAGTAGTTACCAAGAACAAATGAAAGAAGAAATGAGAAGGTAAAATTTCTTGTCCTTTTTTTTATTTATTGTATAATTTGTAAACTAAAAGTTCGTTGTTTTTAAATAAAAAATTTTTTTGTTGAAATTAATTAAAACTTTAATTGCTTAGGATAATTGGGATAACACCCAGTAAAAATAATCCTATTTATTAGAAAAAATTTATATCAGATCTTGCACCTTATTTGTTTGGCAAGTTATGGCTACAACTTTACAATTGGGCAGTAGCAAGCTAAAGACTTCAAAAAAAATCCAATCCATTTTGTCAACAATATCACACCGCAAATGTCATCATTTTAATCAATTGATACATGAACATAAAGCAAGATGTTTGAGGCATTTTCCCCTAACTGTAACAAATGCTTTTTTTCATCATTGGCATTAAGATATCATAGCTATTTTTCTTCTCAAAACTAAATGACTTATATTTTTTTTAATGTTCATAAAATTTCTGGACGGTAGATGTAGGATTATATTTCTTCCAGAAATGATGTAAACAAGCATTATTATAAGAATAGCATTTGTGACTTGACTGGTAAAACAAGAGAATAGATAGAGGAAAATAAAAAATAGGGCAACGGTGGTTTGGATGTATTGCTATGGCTTAATTTTTTTAAATTTTAAGATTTTATTGATATTTTTTATGTGTCATTTTTTATTCTTCCTGCTGATGTATTTGCATTGCAGGGTTGCCACAGGCGACTAAAAAGCAACTATTTTTGGCATGAGGCGACTGTGGCAACTTTTTTTGTCTGAAAAGATTAAAAAAGCAGCTATTTAAAGGAAAAGGAGACTATTGGGAGACTTTTCTATACTCCTAGCGATTGTTTTTTTTTTTTTTTTTTNTTTTTTTTTTTTTTCAAAGCATAAATTAGGTGGAAAATCTGCCCCCCCCCCACAACATAATTTCTGAATACACTTAACTTTTTTTTTTAAAAAAATAAAAAATTTTGGATTGCAAATTTGAGTCTTAACTTTTTAATTCCTTCAATCTGCACAGACTCCATTGTAAGTCTATTTCATTTCTCGATCTCATTTTTAATGATTATTGATACGATATTACGATACATGAATTTCGAATTTGAGTAATCATTTTTCATATATATATATATATATATTNAAACATTTACGTTTATATAAAAATTGTCATATTTACCACCAACTTGACTGAATGGATCATGGTATATGACAATTAAGTCATTCACAAAATTTTAGTCATATTTTTGATAAATTTTTGCTCTTACTTTAGGCAGCTATTTCCCTAGTTTTTGACTACTATTTTTATGTTTTAGGCTACTAAAAGCAACTATTTTGTTCATTTTTTTCTGTGGTAACCCTGATTTGCTGCACAATTGTTTTTAATAATTAATAATCTAAATAAATAATGAAGAAAAACTTGGAATTATTGTCAATGAGGAGAAATGTTTATTTCCCAGAAATAAAATTTCATCTATAAGCCAATTTTTTAATTAAAAATTTTTTTTCAATAAGGTTTGTTCTGAATGCAAGAAAAGAAATGAAAATTTTTTTCTGAGAAAAGCTTATTTAAATTTCTCAAAATATTTCTATCGTTAGCCATCAAAAGCTGAAAAAATATTAAAGAGAGAGAGAGACCTAGTTTTGAATTCACATTTAATCTAAAAGGTGTGACCAAACTATATGGTGAATGCTTGATGCCATACCTATTATACTATTATATATTTGCAAAGAAATATATGTTTTTTAAAATCATTTCTTTTATTTATTATACGTTTTTGACATCTCCTGTGCGTTTCTTGTTAAGAGCAGCTTATGTTTGAAACTCTGTGTCCTTTCAGTGCTAATTTTAGTCTCAGAAACAATAAAGGAAAAGTCTGCAGGTGCAAAATCAGGGGAATAAGAAAGTTACTAAATTTTTATACCCTCCTGTCTTTGGACAGATTTTTTTCGTATGTCTGAAATTGGTACTGCAAATACTAATTTACAAGCACAAGCTGGTTTTATTGAAACGCTTGAAACAATCTTAAATGCGTTTTTAAACGTTGTGAAAATTGCATTGCAGAAAAAGGCTCTTTCCAAGGACTTTGATGTCATTTCTTTACAAATGTGTAATACCCATTATAATTATATAAACAGTCATCTTACTTTTTAATCGCCCTTTGTAAATTATAATTAATATTCATTTTCTTAAAAATATTAGTAGATTATGTAATCACTTGCTGTCTCTCCTTTTTTTTTTAAGAAAAAAATATTAGCTAAATATGTATTATATCAAGTTTGGCACAGCTGTGTTTTTATGTAAACTTTCTTTTTTAATTTGTATTAATTTAATATTTAGATTTTTTTTTTTTTTTTTTGAGGATNTTAGTTTTTTTTTTTTTTTTTTTTGATGAAATACATTGTTAACATCTTTTGTAATACAGTTTATTGTCACATTTTACTCATTTGCAGACTTCATCGAAACAGCAATTAACAGGTTTTACATTTTGGTTTTTTACTTACAAATGTATTGATACTTCAATTTAAATTGACATCATTAGTTTAAGTTTTGCATCTCTACTACTTACTTGCAAATGTATCAATGCTTTAATTTCAATTGGCTTGATTAATTTAAATTAATTTGACAATTTAGTGCTCACTCACGCATGTATCAACACCTAAATTTCAGTGGACCCGTTAATTATAATGCTACGTTTCCGCTACGCACAGGTGATTCATGCTTCAATTTCAATTGGTTATTTAAACCAGTTTTTTATTAGTATTACACACTTAAGTTTTACTTGACTTCATAAATTTATTGGATTTAAAACTAATTATCATTTGCAGTTTTATAAATTTTGTAAAGCAAAAAATGAATTATCAACATTTTAAAATGACCACTTAATTACAATATAATCTAAACAAACATATCAATGACAATTGTAAAACAAACCATGATCATATTTATATGTTGCAGTTAGAAATGTAATAAAAATAATTTATTATTTTAAGCTTAATTTTTTTTTGTATTGCTTCCTAAATCTGTATATCTATATATTATTTTCTTTACCTTTAGTACCAGATTGGGGTATATGGAAGATTTAGAAGAGGAAAGAAAACTGCGAGAAGAAGAAAAAGCAAGAAAGGTACGAATGAAGAAAAAGAAGTAATATTTTTCAAATCATTACCTGTCTATTATTCCCATGGAATATGAATTAATAAAAACATTCAACTGTACATACATTTTTACGTATGCATCGCTTTCCGTGTCTTGTTTAAAGTGTCTTTCATTGGGAACCATGATTTGTGAAGAAAGAGAAAAGCATGTTTATAAAATCATCTTTTATTTATTTATATAGTGTTTTATTTATCCTTGTGATCCCATACTACAAAAAACAGATTGTATGAATACCTTATTTTCCAGTGGATAAGATTTTTGATGTATAAAATCAAACTAAAAATAATGGACCAAGTGATTTATGTGATATACTTAGATGAAGATTGTGTGGTCTGTTTATTATTATCATTATTTCTCTACCTTTTCAATTTTTTAATCGAATAATTTTTTTTAAAAATATTTTTGTGGTTGTTAAAAAAATGGCCAATCTGTTAAATATTTTATATCATATCCTTTAAAAATGTACATATATTAATTAGAATCAACCAGGGTTGGCATAATTTTAATCACTTGATTTAAATCACCTGATTTTTTTAAAATCAAGCATCCATTTCAATTTAAAAAAAAAAATTTACATTGTCATTTATAAATTCATTATAATAGTTTTAATTTCTTCAAAGTACGATTTAATTAATATTTGAGGTTTTTTCTTGAAAAATAACGAGATGGAGTAATGTATGTTAAATAATACATTATTTTCAAAATCAGATTACGAAACAAATAATAATAAAACTAGTTTAAATATGAATAAAGATGTAAAACTATTAAATTCTCTTTTGCTGTGAAATAGTTTACTGTTAGTGAATATATTTCTATTATACCCATTCATTTTTAAATGTTTATTTAAAATTACTTTTGAAACTTATTAAATATGTAGTTTGTGTGCTTAAAGAATGAAGAAAGACCTGCTCAATCAGGAGTGATTTAAAATAATTAATTTTTTCTTTGTTTCTTGATCTAAATAATTTAATATTTTTTCACATATGTAACTGACAACTTGGGTTTTTATAAATTTATGATATTGTTAAACTTGAATGGAGAAAAAAAAACTATGATTTCATTTAATCAGTGATTTGTTAGAAATAGTATGTAATTAATTTTTATGTTAATATATTTTTCAGAACTTTGATGGATAGATGTAAAGAATCTTATTTAAATCTATTAAAAATGATTTTTCCAATCCCGAAATTAACACTAAATTCATAGATTGATAACAATTATGATCAAGTGTTAAGAATTTCTATTTTTCAAAGTGGCTTATCACTCACTTGGTAATTTTGTGAAATTATAACTTTTTTAATTTAACAGGGTTTTTTATGGTCTGTTTAGCAATCTAAGTAATTTCTATTTATTTTATATCTTAGTTTAATCTCATTAGTTAAACTTAGTTACTTGCATCCAATTATACATAGATAATTTAAATATTCTTCAAATGCTATCTTTACTGTTACTATTCCCTTGTTAAAAGTTTGAAAACTTACTGTAGATTATTATTATATATATTGTATTATATTTGATATTGAGCTATGGAATTAAATTTAAACAGAAATATCATTAACTAATGAATTTATTTGCTGAATAGTCAGCTTAATTATTTTTCAAACACATTATTTTGTATGTAAGTTATAAATTTTTGATTTTATTTTATTTTTTCTTGTGCTCATAAAAGTAATACCTTTATGAAATGAAGATCCAGATCTGAGTGTAAATTAAACACATTTATAGACTGAGTGTATTGTAGAAAACTACAATATTTACTCCATTTTCTGCAGACGCCTTAAATTTTTCTTTCATTCATTTATTTACTTTTAATTTAATTTGAACAGTTTTTCTCAGAACTTAATGAAAATTTCCTTTCAAGTGTTAATCATCAGTGGTTTATAATAATTATGATTAATATTGACTTAGTTTTATATTAATCATTTTTTGTGTAATGGTGCAATATTTGTAATAAGTTTTATCGTGCTGCATTTAGCAATGCTGCAAGGTTTAACCTAATATATGAAAATATATAAGACCCGTAAAAGAAATTTTGTTGGATAATATTTTTGTGGAAAAGTGGTGAGTTTAACTATCTGACCATAGAGTAAAAACTTTTGTTCAAAAACCTGTAGAAACCACGGAATAAAAACTTTGATAGATTGAAAATCTGTTGATGTCACAGAGCATAAACTTGAATTGATCGAAAACCTGCTGATGCCTCAGAGCATAAACTTTGATTGAAAACCTGTAGGTGCCACAGGATTAAAACTTTTATTGATTGAAAATATGTTGGTGTAGTGCAGGAAAAAAATAAGACTTCTGCTGGCTCCAGAATTTTCCTTTTATCACTTTAAATTGGTTCTGAAAATTTATTTTTAACAACTTTTTATTTTTTAAAATAGAAGTCAATGGTGTTCTTATCATGGATAAAATATGTCCACTAAAAATCTACTAATTTAAAAAACATTTTTTTTTTTTTAAGTTGAGGTTTGTTTATGCTCTGGAAAGTATGGTAAACATAAACTGTGTGTTTTCCTTTTTCAATTTGATATTAAAAAAAGAAAGAAAGAATGCTTGGTCTTGTTGAACTGAACAACACTGGAATCGTGTATAGGTGGGTTAATTAACCAGAGTGAAACTTAATGCCTTTCTTGGCAAAAACGTGAATTTGAGAAAAGTTCATTTTATGTGAAGATGTCAAATAGTGAATATTTGTTAAGACTGTCTTATATTTTATTTAAATTAAATAATCATTTGTGTTATTTTGATATTTATGTTAGAAAGCTAATATATTATTCTTCATGTGTGCCTGCCAGTATGTTTTACAAATAAATGAAAGTTTGGAAACATTTGTAATAAATTGTTTTTGATATTTCTTTATATTATGTAAAGTTGTCTTGATTGTTTTTATTCGTGCTACCACTAAAAATGAAGTATTCATTCATATTATATTTTTGTTTAAGTTTTATGAAAGTCTATGTGATTATCTGAATTATTTTTAGTGTGCACTTTGTATATTCTCAAAAGCACATCAAGATAAAATTGCAGATTGATATAGATTTAAGAATGTTATTATCTATGGCAAGTTAACTAGGCTTTGTTGTAGAAGGTAGAAAATGTGATGTTGCAGTAAAAGACTTAAATTTTTAACATTCATGATTGGAAATATTGATTATAAAGGGAAATTATTAAGGATGAAATCGAGAGTTGTTAAGTTGTCATTCAATTTATTTCTTTTTATGTTTTTCATTATGATTCATCCGTAATTACTACGATTTTGTAGTCTAGATTACGGTTAAATAATAAAAATCAACTGTTATTTAAAAATTTTCAGAGTAATCTGTTAAAATCATTTACTACCAAAAGTTTTGAAATTTTGCTTGCCAAGAGTATTTTAAAAAAAGTTAACTCTTCAGAGTTACTTTTGTCATGCAGAATATTATTAAAATTAGGTATGTATCTAAATAGAATTAAATAGTAGAAACAGCTTAAAATTATGCAAATTTGAGTTTTTTTTTTTTTTTTTTAACGTTTTATATATTATTGTACTTCAGATTAAGGACAGCTAGTATGGAAATTAGGCACCTCTGAGTTTACTTAAATTTTTTTCCACAACTATTTTCATTTACAAGGACAATTCAGAAAGGTTATTTCATATTGTTAATTAAGTACTCCTAAATATAGTAAAAGGATTTAACAAAATGTAACTTTTTTTCTTTTTATTTTAAATTAAAGAGTCGAAACAGGAGAGGAAAATTTTTTTTTGCTTTGATAAAGTTATTTTTGGCTGTTATGCAGCTTAATGGGCAACAAAATATATTACAAAGCTTTTTATAGTAAGATCAATTAATTTTGTGAAACTATACATCTTTTTTAGTAAAATAATATATATTTGTTTTATAATAGTTAATATATATTTGTATTTAAAATAATATACATATATTTTCTCCCTTGCTGTTTTATAGCTTCAAACCATTTATACTAAAGTGACAAATTTTCAGTAATATTTTGCGTATTACTATTGAATGTTACAGAGTAATATCAATGAACTATAAATTTGACGAAGAAATATATTCTGCATAAAAATTTATAACTTATTGTTTTATTTAAAAGAAAAAGTTTTGGCAAAACTCATGCATTTTAAAGATATGCCAAGAAATACTTTCACACTAAGAAATATAATACACTAAGATAGGCCAAGAAATATTTTTACAATTGAAGAACTCATTAAATTAGGTTCTGAGTAACATTTTAAGAATTTTATAAATAATGCTTAAAGTTGATGTATTGATAGTAGGAAATCAAGATAATGCCTTGTCATTATTTCCTGTTTTGTAAATTTCTTATTTGGAACATCTATAAATCTCTAGCACAAATTGTGCACATTATAGCTTCACTGTTATAACATTCTAATTTCCTGCCAAAAGAGAGACTAAAATCACTAATTGACAAATTGTTGCCAAATGCACTGTGAATTTTCTTTCACTCGAAAATATTAACAAAGTTTCACTCAGTGCCTCTATTCTCTGGGATCTTCAACATTTAAAGACTTGGCTAAATGAAACTAAAAGAAAAACCTTCCCTGAGAAATTAAATTTTTTGGAAATTTCATATAAAACTGTCTTTTACTAAGTTCTTCTATTGTGTAAAGATATAATTGTATACAGTGATTTGCAATTATGTACATAGTCATTATGGCTCAGCCCAGTTAACTTGACATAAACTATAGAACTGATTTGTATGAAATTAAATTGTGACATTTATTTTCAACATTACAATTTTTAGGAGAAAAAAGTACTGTTTAATAAAAAACATTTCAGATTAAAAAATTTTGTAGACAATATTAACTTTTATACTTGCATTTTTTTTTATATGTTTCTTTGCATGAGAAAATTACTTCATATATTTCTACTTCTAGTTTGTAACAAAACTCTCACGCCCTCATCATTTTCTTGTAATGTATTGTATCATCAGTCATCAATCAATCAATAAAGTGTGATACCATTGAGTCTAAGTGTTTTATTTTTAAAGCAGTCAAAGGTGGATTTTCCAGACTTTATTAATCTGAAACTTTCTAGTACAATTAGATTTAATTACAAATAGAATTACAATTAGAAAAAGCTCCCATTGTAAACAATATAATTTTTTGTTATGTAGAGCTATTGTAAGCATATAACACCCTGAGGGTCATCCCCTTCTTATCACAGGTATTCTCGAAAATTGTACCAAGTATGGTATGGGATATTATCAGTATTGTGTTACATTTAGTAAAAAAACATTTAACAAAGGTGATTCTTTTGTTAACATTCAAAACTTTACAAAGTTTGTTTTTCTAAAAATGAGTCCCTTAAAAAATACTTTTGAGGATGATTTTATATTTTTGTTATTTTATTTAATTTTTACACTATTTTAAACTGTATTTTTAAATCAGAACGTTGGACACATCACTTATGCAAAGCGTGGGAGACTTTTTTTGGTGATAGAAATTTATCATGAAAGTGGTGCACCTTGTTTTCCCCCTTTGCGTCTGCTTGGAAAATTTATTAAATAAATTAATATTCTAGTATCGAACTTTTTTACTCCTGCAGAAAAATCGGCCTACATATGTGGCAATATACAATTGCCTGAATGTCCTCAAAATTTTAAACTTTAAAATGTGGCCAATATAGTGTAAAAACGTCTGTGTATACCATGGTAAGTTGGAAAGTTTTAGACAAATTAGGGACTAACAAAGGATAGAGCCTGATTATAATGTCAATGAAACCTAAGCCTACTTGAAAGTACAGTTAAAGTGTGCTAATCTCTTCCCACTTGCTTGTTCCTGCTTGATTTTATTTTCCATTTTTATTACTCTGTGTGTTGCCATTATAGGCATAAGTTTTCTAGCTTTTTAATTTTTAATCATTCCTAATCCCGTTATAATTAAATTAAATCAATTATTTAATAACGCGATGTTTAGTTAATAGAACCGGCAAAGTTAGATTGGAGCTGAATTCCGTTTTTTTTATTTATAATTTTTTTTTTTTTTTTTTACAACTTGAAGCTATGAGAGTAAAACGTACTAAATAAATTTGTAATCATGAAAGTAGCATTATAAAATGTTAAAATAAATTTTTAAAACTTGTTTAACTTTTTCTTTTCCAAATACAACCTATAAATTTTAAAATTCGTTTTTTCTTTTTTTGTTTAGAAATAGGTTAAATTTAGCTTTCTTAAAAATACATTTTTCTCTTAAAAATGTGTATTAACCGATCTCATACGTGGCAGTATATCATAGCTTGTATTTTTCTTAAATATGAACATGTAAATTTAAACTTTGGCAAATATTGTAACAACGCCTTTGTGCACTACACTAAGTTTAAAATATATAGACTTTAAGGGGGGGGGGTGAACAAAGAGTCAAATTGTAATATCAATAAACCTTTTGGAAAGTTAATGTATATGGAAATACAGTTATCTGAATAAGTGTCCTTAAAGTAATGCCTAAATCATAAAAATGAAGCATTAACATATTTATTACACAAAAACTCATTGCAACTAGCTCGCTGTACTCCTGATGCTTGATCCCTCAAATCTCTATTATACCTTTTGATTTTTCGACAATTAATTCTTTTGCACTCTCTTTCAGAACATCATATACCCTCTCGCAACATAAATCTGGTGGAAAAGTAGGCCACTCTTCTGTACTCGGTGAATTGCTTCTACACTATGTTTGGACCTTTTTTGATTAGTGGGCCGGAGCTGAAATTTTTTTTTAAGGAATATTGCCCTCTAAATAAAGCAGAATCAATCAAATGCTTCTTCATTTTTTTTTAATGGTTAGAATCGTCAGGCTAATCGTGGGAGGTTTTCCTCTCCATGAAACGTAAATATGGGTTAGTTCCATCTAAAAGTTCAAGATGGGAAATATTTCTCAATACTTGATCTAGGAGTTTCTTTGTCTTCTGGATTGGTTCCAAAATAACAAAGCTACGGAGTTGAACGATTGGTAGCCGTAAACTCAAAATTGGGTCGGCTGTTCAACGACGATTATAAAATAAAATAAGCAGTATAAAGCGTTGACTTTAACTTCCAGACCAATAAAGAGAAGTGGAAGTTACCCCAAGCCATTACTTTCGATGCATTTTAATTTCGTTCTACTGCCAACTTATTTTTGGGGATGTCGCAAGACTTGCAGCATATTGGCTATAGATGGCATAGAGCAGAACAATTTACTTATGACAACACTTCGCATGCTTTCACCATTAGCGTGTGGAGAGTCATAGGAAAAGGAAATGCGTTAGTTTCTGTCTTGATTTTAAAATAGATTACAAATTTTTATGTTAGGAAACCATATTAAACATAGTTCTAAACGAAAATATTTGTGACATTTAAATTGCTAAAAATATTAAGAAAGGGGAAAATATTATAGCACATTACTATGGATGGGTGATCGTGTAAAGCTAAGGATGGTGGCGCAAGTGGTAAAATTGCTCTTTCAAGACTTCCGGGTTACTGCTTCCGATATATTTTTACGCCGCAGATTGAAAAAACGCGCCATCATATTATTGCATCATATCTTTTGCAGTATTTCACATGTACCGAGTTCTTTCTTTCAGCCTTTAAACTTCAGCATTATCATATTAACATTATAATCATTAGAATATTTTCTAATTAGGCTATCTTAAAAAGATATTTTTGGCGACATTTTATTCAAATGTAGCCAAATAAGGGATAAAATACAAAACATGGCAAACCTTAAGAATTATTCACAATGAGATATTAACTTTCCAAAATTTTTTTTGGCCTTACGACCTCTGAGAATCAATACATTTCTGAAAGCTCTTATGAATGGTACAATTATGTTTAGATTTGAACCCAAATTACAATAACAAAACTGCATAGAATATTAGTGGATTTAATCAAATTAAAAATTTT